ATCGGACACTTGGTCGTTGTGGGGTAGGATAAGGCTTTCCAAGTCGACGCGTCTTCAGAAGAGGCATGTTCTTCTCTTACACACGCCTTCTGCAACACACTCCCACTGGCATGCTTCTTCAATGCATGACGCACTTGACAGCCCCCATCTTCAGACCAAAACGCCGCGGCAGGCGACTAATACTTGTTAAAACGATCCCGACGCCGCGATGAACAATACCCCCAACTAACACGGCTCGTTCTTACTATGACCGACTCTTAACACAGCAATACATTGCTAGAAGCCTGAAAAAGACGAGAAAAGCGGAGTCAGAAATAAGAAAACAGGCACTGGATCAGCTAAATGCTTGCAGGTATAACCGCCCCCTAATTAAAGTACATATGAAGCCTTGGGTACGCGCGCTAGCAGCCTGCTGTGGTCAATTCTCTATCTGGGCACTCAAGGTTTCCCTTTCAGTTGAAGCGCTGGAGCCTTCGCCCGCTATGCGTCGTGCTTAGGCCGGCCAGATGCCAGCTGCCAAGCTAGTACAGGCGTGGGTTGGCAGCCGACTGAAGGGTACTCGCTGGGCCAACAAATCACATAGATAGAGTAGCGGATTTCAAGTCGACAGGCATGACAATATTCATCGTTAGCATCCGGCCCGTATCTTCCATTACAGGCATGATCTTAGGCGAAGAAATATCCGCGCCAGTTCTTTGTGATCCCATTTGTGAGTGGCCGGACAGAACGGCCGGTGACGGTGGCTACCCACCCCCGCCGCACGCCTCGTCTTATACTATGTTTTTTTCCTAAACGCTCTACTCATGACGCTTTTTAATTAGCTGGATTGCACTGTATCAATAGTTTACCTGCAGCGCTGCCGCTTGTTCACGTGATGCGTTGGTTCTTCCTGTTGCCGCTTTGCGCAACGTCGTCCTGGGCTGGCACGGACGTTGACTGCAACGCTCGGAACCCGCCTGGGTGTGTAACCTGGCACCGCGAGCCCGAATGGAGCGTCAAGCCCTTGTTCCTTGACGAGGCGGCGCAGCGAGAAAGGAGATCCGCTGATGGGATACGTCACCCCATCGGGCCACCTGATCGAGAGGCGAAACTCGGCGCTCGTCAGCTGCAGACGCACTGGCATCGCGAATCCTCCCGTGATGCTCCATGCGGACAACAGCCTCATGTCCAAAATGCGGTCGTTCAGGACAAACTTGGCCCCCTCATGCGACAGTTTGTCTACCAGCAGCGGCAGTGCCGGCTCGCCCCTCTCGCACCTGCACAAGATGGTGCCCGTCGCGGAAAAGACGCAGCCAGCCTGGCGCGGCATGCCGTCGAGCTCAAAGTAAAACAGCGCCGCCGTACAGCGCCGTGCCACGTCACCCACGGCCGCCCGCAACGTCGGATCTGCTTCTGCCCTGGCCTTGAGCTTGGCCATGGCGCCAACGTCGTCCAACCGCAGCTCCGCGTCGAAACCCAGGTCCAGACGGATGCACCGGTCTCGCAGCCAGCTGCCGGGATCCATCCCCCTGACGTACTTGGCCCAGCTTGGGGTACCACTTAGAAGTCGGCTATAGGCCGCCCCGATTCTGTTGATTGCACTGTCAAGAAACCAGTCCACCAGCGACTGCACCAGGCCGCCGCGACGGAGTGTCGGCTCTGGCAACACGCCGCGCGATCCGGTGCCAATGTTGAGAAGGAACTGGCAGGCTTTCGAGCTTCCATAGTACGCGTTCACCTCTGCTTGTGCCAGTGCAATGGCGTTGTTCTCTATGATACCTGGGTCTTGGACCTTTTCTCCCAGCCCCTCCAGACGAACAGGTGAGAAGAAGCTGACAGTTTGTTAGTTGTGATTTGCACGCTACGCACTGCTTCTCGACAGAACTGGACTCACGTTGGCGCTGCTGTGCAGCCTCGGGCCCTAAAAAGAGGTTAGTAAACCATGCCATACGAAGCTCTACTGCGACCTGCAAGACTCACAAATCCGCAATGGCCACGTCGCCGCAATCCTCGTGAACGCGGTAGTCTGCACCCGTGTATCAGTACTATCTGTCGTCGTATCCTTTGCTATTGGACGTACCCAGCCTCATTTTCGCGTCCCCCACTGCATTGTAGTTGGTGAATGCTAGCAGTGAGGGGTCTGGCACTGTGGCGACTGGCAGCACAACGCGTGTGCCAATGCCCGTGGCGAATGACGGGTCAAGCAAGGCTGCCTCTGAGCCATACGCCTCCCGAAATGCGTTTTCGGCTGCCTGACCCCCGTAGATGGGACAGTGAAAGAGCGAAAGCAACGAAGAAAGCAAAGGGATGTTATGTTGGGGCTGGAAAATCTGTTCGGCAACATCTTCGTACATTTTGGTGCAATCTTCAGGAGCTAGCCCTCTGAGAAACAGGCCGATGATGTTCAGAGCGCCTCAGAAACATTGTGTTAGTCTCGTTTCTAACCATTTCCAGGATCGCGGAACTTACCTGCGCTTACTCCACAAACGAACTGAAAGTGTCGTTGCACAGGAATTGGCAGCTTGATGGCTTTGTGGAGCATCTCCAGAACAACTGTTTGGAACAGACCACGTACGCCGCCTCCGTCCAGGCACAAGACGGCAGTTCCTGCAGTTGACGGCATAAAGTATGCGTCTAGCGCGCAAGACGCCCTACATAGTGGACAGCGGTCAAGAAGGCGGCCACGGCTACCATGGCGCTGTCCAAGTTTCCACGTGCAGAAGGGGCAAAGAATGTGACCACATGTTAGCTTGTATTCGGGACGACGCCGCAAGCAACTAAAACACGTCTTATGGCTCGGTTCGATGGTCTGCCAGAGAGCGCTGTACTTAGTCATGACGGACCTGTGAACCTCGGTGATGGCCGCTCCGGGGTCATCGCAGCAAGGATGAAGCCACTTCATGTATGACAGAATTCGCTCCGTGTCCGGAAATACATGGACACCTGCGAGAGACATGCATACGTCCTTGTAAAGGTGCTCAAATACCTTGTGAATGTGAAAATTTGCATGCTGTTAGCGCCAACGGGACACGTTGCGGGCAGTGTACGTACTATGCATGGCTTCTGTCCAATGGTCGAAGAGAAAGGTCGAAGCAACGGACTCAGCCACAAAGTCAGGGTCTACATCCGCCGGAAGAACGTCAAGGAAGTCACTCAGGTGCCTCACGAGGTCGGCAGCTACAGGGTGTGCGGTGCGCGAAGCTTCAACGATGTGGAACGGCTTGGACAGCTCATGGGTAGCCATGGAATAGGAGAAAAGACCTTTGAAATGATTCACAGAAAAAAGCATCTTGTCCTCTGCTCGTCTCCGTCGGGAGCGAGCCAGTGCCGGACTTGAACGCGCGCAGATGGGCTTCAACCTGTTTGCACTGTAGCGATGCTCGCCAATTTGGACCACGGAAACGGTAGACTGCAGCTTGGCTGACAGCTTTCTTTTGAATCCACGCAGTGGAAGAGTCTGATCTTTCGTGAGGATGACAACCTCAGGCATTGGGAGTTGCGGGTGGAAATGTTGTTGAACATGGCGCCAGGCGTGAATCTGCACTTGAATGTCGTCGGCGTCGCTTTGGCTCTGGTGCACAAAGACAAGCACATGGGCAAAAGGAAATAAAAGAAGCGGGACGGCGTGGTGGGAGACATTGGACGGCAGTGTGATCTCTTGCGCAACAGAACAACATCGATACCCACGAGGACGCTCGTCGTTTCGGTTGGGCCACACCGGCGGTCGCGGCATCTGTATGCTGGCAACAAAGATCGGATGCTGACGATACTCGCCTTCGCTTTCTAGACGCAGATAGACCCCGTTGCGCTCCGAAGACGGGAAATAATGCCCGTGGCGCGACTCGACCAGCAACACCATGGACGGACGCAGTTCTGGAGACATTTGTGACGCAAGATTGGCCAGACGCGCTGTTTCTCGCACATTTCCCTGGCCCTGGTCCGAAGTATCCAGCCACAGAGGGTGGTTGCATTTCATGATCAACTTGTAGCGTTGTGAAGAGAGACTTCCCGCTGCGTATTTAAACGTATGGATGCACTCATATATTTAGCTTCTCGTTAGGACAAACGAGGGTTTGCTCCTACGAAACAGTTGCATAAATGTTTCCAAAATAGCTGAGGAAGCCTGACGAGCCTACCAAGCTTCCCTGCGCGGCCAAAAAATAAGAGTAAGCCTCGAGGTAAGGCAGTCTTTCCAGCCGCGGGACAGCTGCTTCTAAAAAAGAACCGACTTCCTCATCAGTGCCTTGGACTGCGAACTCTGTGAGCCAGACGGGCTTGCCTTCGCACACTTTATGTACCTCGTCGAGATGGGCAAACATGGCTTCGATCCATTGCGCTTCCGAGTACCAGTGCGTGTTGCAAAAGTCGAAACGACACCCACCCAAATTCTGACACTCGTGCAAAAAGTCTTTGAGCCACGATAAACCTTGTGAAGGTTTGGAGCTGCTGGTAATGCTTGGTGTGCCGACACGAGCTTGGTCTGGTAGACTGTTCATGTAGAGGATATGAGCTGCGGCAGCCTCGACCGCAGTCATGTTCGACTGGTCAGCAACATCGGGCTCGTTGAAGCTGAAAATGATGCCATCAACTTTTTCCTGCGTCTCCCACGCTCGAACGTGCTCTGGCGCGTTGCTCCAAAGCATTGGAACGTATTCGACGTCGGGGTTCAGAACTTCTTCGCGGGTAGACCCCCAGTTGTACGCCCACTTGCAGGCAGGACAGTGCAAACTGAGGAGATTGGCCAGGTTGACATCGTTGTATGCAATTCCTCGCTTGGAGGCTAGTTTCGTGGGACGTTCTAGAGGACACGAGCAAACATCTGCTTCTGTCAGCCTCGACCAAAGCATCAAGATACCAAGTATGATGAGATGCATATGCATTGTTGTTCTACTACTATAGAAACGGGGGCTGGCTGCAACGCGCTCTATACGTCTATTTGTACGTCAGTCG